GATAAGTGCAGTTTTACACAGGAGTAGCTAATGTCATAATTTTATACCTGACCTATATCTTATACCAATATTTAGGTCACCACTGAATTTGGCTCAGAGTCCTAGGAGGTTTACTATTTTCTGGCTGCATTTAGCTGATGACTTGTGTTTGGCTGCGAAGTGTTAGGTGGTGCTTTATTAAGGAAGCCTCTGTACCAAAAGAAATTGCATTATGTTACAGCATTGAAACATCCTGTGTAAAGAAACAAGGTCTCGGAATGAATTTTTCATTTATTTGAAAAGTGCAAATGCATTTTGAAAACTGGTGTGACTAAGTTGCCAAAGTAATTGTTCCTTTCAAAGGGCAATTCTGATTATAATGGTTCAAAAGGACTTAGAGCTTAAATACATCAGTGATACTAATCACACAGTAACCTGGCCAGAGTACCTTGTGGTACTGTTTACAGGCATCTTCATGTTCTTTATTGGAATCTGTTTATCACTGAGATGCTCAGTGCAAAGCAAGTAGGCAGAATGAGCCTGATGCTTCTGCAGTACTTCCAAGACCTGTTCTCCCTGAAGTTTGGAACTGGAATTCTGATCTTACTCATGGTAGGTCAGTAGGGGCAAGTTCAACTCCAGAATGAGCTGCCTCAGCTTTTACTGACCAGTAGTGAACTGAGCCTAAAACTCTCTCTCAGTCCGTAGGACATGATCAATTTAGTCTAGATTAGGATAAAAGCTGTGTTGTTAGAACATATAAATTAACAGGTTTCACCTAACATATTTGAGAACTCTAGCGAGTGTAGACAAGGCACATTGCTTTGAACAGGTGCGATACTAACTGAGTTAAATCCTGCTGGAAGCCCACGCATCAACCCAACTTCTTAGTATGTGTTAAACTCTACACTACCTTGCCTGTACAAGGCTTTTCCAATGTGTTCTGGTGCCGGTGAGTGGGGAAGAGACAGATCCCTTCTGCGGGAGCCAGGCCCCCCACTAATCCTCCTGAATCTCCCAGAGGTCCCGTCAGTTGCTGGCCAGGCCCTTCTCCCTCCTGCCACAGAGTTTGGGGTGCACATGCTCCCTCATATCCCCTATGCATTGCCCCTGCTTAGAAGAAAACATACTCTGGCAGCACTGTGCTCTCTAACATCACCACATACTAAGAAACCAGGCTCCACTCCTGGATCTTCTGGGATCTTCTTCCACCAGACTGCCAGCTGGCCTCCACTCCCAGCCACCAGAGCTCTGTGATCCAGGGCTCTCCGGTCTAACACCACATCTTTAAATCCTGGTCTAGGCAAGGCCTTTGTGATCTTGGCATAGCAACTATTAAATTGGTCTGAAGGGACTGCAGTGAAGTGATGCAAGATTCCCTATCCCTCTTCCTTCTGATGTGTGATTACACAACCTCCATGGTGTCCCCTGCTACTCTGGAATTAAAAGTCAAATCCAGAAATCTAATTGAGATACAGGTTGGGCCTCACTGGTCTGGCATCCTGGGTACCTGATGGGTCCTGAACGAGGGTGTTTGCCAGACCAGGGGAAGTCAATTCTGGCCCCTCTGCTGCTGTCCTCTGGAAGTAAGATCTGAATTCCAATTGGAAAAGCCTCAGCTGGGCTCCCTGCTCCCGAGCTGCCAGACCAGCTCTGCTCCAGCCTTGGTTGGGCTTCCGGTCACCAGATAGGCTCTTCTCCCAGGTGCTGGTTCCCCTGGCCACTGGCTCTGCTCCTGGCCCCACCCAGGCTCTGGCTGCCGGCAGCCCCCTGAGGCTCCCGCTCCCAGCCACCAGAACGCTGTGGACCAGGGGCTCTTTGATCCATCAATTAGGTTGCCAGGTGTCCGGTATTGATCCAGAAAGTCTGGTATTTTTGCCTCCTGTCCGGTAAAAAAAAAAACCAGAAAATACTGGACACCTAAAGTGGCCAATATTTTCTGATTTTTTTTCCCAACCAGGAGGCAAAAATACTGGACACCTGGCAACCCTACGACACACTTGACAACTGGGCACAGCCCCCGGCCTCTCCTCCACCCCGGGTCCCTGAAACTCTCAGCCCCCCACCCCTGGATACCCTGCTTACCTGGTTCCGCAGGGAAGCTGCGTTCTGGCTTCACCAAGAAAACAAAATGGCCGCCAGCAAAAAGCCTAAAGACCAAGGGGAAGCAATGCCTTCCCTGGGTCTTAAGTGCTCAACCTCTCTGCAGTTCCTATCCCTATTCTGACTCTGCATGCACTCTGAAAAGGGCCATGCTGTTTTAATGCTGTTTTATTATTTAATTTTTTTTTTTGCTCAACAATGTTGGTTTCCCCCTGCTTTTTTCCCCCCTCAACAGAATTTTTCCCCGGGGTTTTT